TAGGTACTTGCTCACTATGTTTTCAAAAATGTTTTGCTTTTCTTGTGTTTGTGGGTTTTGAAAAAGTTTGTTTGAAAACTTCGTTTTAACTCTTGTATCAGTCCTCAAGAGTGTATGAAGTGTTTGTTTGAAAACTTTTGTCAGAAAAGTGTAGGTGCGAAAAGTATTTTTGTTTTGAAAGAGCAAGTACCTGAGAACCTCTACCTACTCAAAAGAAATTAAGCTGTGTAAATGTCCTTTAGACAGTACCATCCCACTATTGAGAAGTAGGTAGCACCGTCGTTGGAGTTTTCGGGTCAATTCGATTATAGGGACATGTGGTCACCAAAGCAATAGTAGGACGCCTTAGCGGTAACCCTAATGTCTTAGATCTTTTTTTATCGAGGCAACCATTCCGAGGCAACTTGGATCTTTAGACAGGAGGGCGACCTCTAAAACACCATATACTCAATGACCACGTCGAGGCAACCAAGTGAGACGTACCCTAAGAGTGGCATGTGCGAGTGTGTCAGGATTCAGTTAAGTTATCTTTGCACATGTTATGGTGAGCTACAGATTGATTTTATTTTCAGAGAAGTCTTGTCATGCATAGCCTAATTAACATACATCTAACAGTTAAATATTTGCGGAAAATAAATCTACGCTATTACAAGGCGTCGGGTATTTACATCGCCAAAAGCAAACCCTTGAAAAGTAAATTGCGGAAAATTAAAGAAAGCGATAAAAAGTCCTAATTAACGCTATTACATCCTCGGAGCAATTACATAAATATGGATCAAAAATTAATATGACAAACATACGCGCGCGAGAAAATTGAATCGGAAAAGTCCTTAGGGTTTCGACCCTTTTTGCGAAAGAAAGAAGTTTTTGATGGTTTATGAATTAAATTAAACCTAAAACTAATTAATAAAAAGAAATATTTTTTAATCTTTAATGTCTCAAGGAAGTAAATAAAAAATAGTCAAAAGTTAGTAAAAACCCTAATTCTAATTTATTTTATTTATTGCAAAAAAATATTGAAATTAACCTAATTAAAAAAAAAACTAAATTAATTTGTTAGCATTTATTTACAAAAATAATGAAGGGTGAAATTAATAAATAATAATAATAATAATAATAAAAATATTACATTTTTTAGTTTTCTGAATTTTATTATGAAAAAAAAGTTAATTTGGTTAATTAAATAATAATAATAATAAGAATTAATAGCAAAATAATTAAAAGAAAAAAAATATAAAAGAAGAAAAGAAATAATGAAATCAGGGGGTGATGGGCCAGGTTAGGAGGTGAGAAAGCAATTTGAAGCCCAATATGTTGCAGGCCTTGTTAACTTTTTGGATCGTCCACACATGCATTGACCAGGGACTATGGTGGTCACTCCATCCTGGCCTTCAGATTTGCTTTGCAAGCCGCTTGGCGCGTTGATGTTTGAGATGCATGGTAGACCCTCTCTTGAAACCTGCACGTGAACGCCTGAAGAAAAAGAACAGATAATTGTTTGGGGGACCTGGGATTCGAACCCAGGTCCCAATGGTTCCAAGCCAGCGCAACAACCACTACACCACTTGCACGCTTTTAGTATTATAATAACAGGCAATTAATATGTTGCTAAACTAAACAATATGCTGTACAAAAGAAAAACGCGCGTATTTATTCAAATGGTCCAATGATGTATCAACACATCATCATCTTCTTCCTTCGTTCTGCAAAAACAAACATTAGATAGCAGGGGTTTTTAACCCCCACAATATGCCATGAGGAAAAATAGCGATTAGCACTGTGGTTTATATAAATATTTCCCGAAGGTTTCTTTGTGTTCGTCTTGGTTCAACGATTCCAACCATATGCCTTATGAGTCTTAATTGTTCCTGGATTGCAAAGCCCCAATTCAAAGGTTATGAACCCTAAAAATTCAACTATGGAATCTTGTGATTTAGGGAGTTTCAGTTCAATTAGGTTATACCATTAGCTTCATATGATTACTAGCAGTGCAAAACAATCAAGAAATCATGTTAAATGCTCATGAATTAAGAGTTACGATTATGGATAAAATGTGCAAACCGTGGTTATGTAATGGATGATTCTTTGAGATATGAAGCTGGAATTTGATTGCCACGCGTTCTGGGAACCTCCTGAAGTGGATTAGAATCAACAAGAGTCCTTAAATCGCCCTAGAATGCAAAAACCAATTTCAACTTTTCTTGAATTTTCTTGAATTGGCTATGGTATTTTCTGCAGCTTTTTCACGTGTCTTGCATCAGGGTTTGCTTGCATATATATAGAGGAATGGAATTAGGTCAAATCTTGAACAAGAATCCATTGAATTGATGATTTGATCTTTGATTGAAAATCAAATCTTTTTGCATTTTCATGATTGGAAAAGGTTGCCAATTTTGGAGATTTTGCATCTTTGACTTGGTGCACGAAATTGCCAGCATATCTTGACCATATTTGCTTCACAAAAAGATTGAAAAACCAAATCTTCTATTTTCCTACAATTTAAATTAATTAAATGAATTAATATTAATTAAAAATCCAATTAATTAATAAAAAATAAGAAAATAAATTCAATTAAGCTTGATGGGTCGTGCATAGGTCATGGATAAAGTTTCAAGACGAAATTTGAGGCTCATTAGCAAAAATAAGGTGTTTTGAGCAAAGTTGACTTTTGCAAATTCCTAAAAATTTCTCAACTTCTCCAATGCATATCTTGCTCAATTTTGATCATATGAACATGTTCTTGGACATTTTGGAAAGGACTTGAAGTCCTCTAACCAATTCCTTTGGTCCCATGTCATTTGGATTTACCAATCTCAAGTTATGCTCTTTGACTTAAAGTGCACTTTTGTTGACTTTTGAAATTGACCTATAATGTAGAAATTGATAACTTTTTGTGAGAGCATTTCTTGGACTTGGAATGTGAAGATGGATTGTAGGAAATGTCATCCCCTTAAAAATGAGGATTGGATGGGATTTTTCTGATGAACCATGAAAAAGTTATGCCCTGGTCAATATACAGTTGACTTTTCTACTGTCCAAAAATAGTAACTTTTTGCATCTTGATGATTTTTGAGCTATTCTTGTGGAATCATGATCAAGACTTGATCAAATGATGATTGTGAACTCAAAATGAGATGTTGACCAAAAATTCTGACTTTTGACTGCAAAATGACCATTTTGCCCTTGCAGTTGACTGTGGATTAAATGAGGCTTTTGACTATGCAAATTGGCATTGTGAGTCTTGAAACTTGGCATATAGATGCTTGAGAATGTATATAGGCCTATGATACTTGATTGAACCATTGAAAACCCCAAATTCCTTGAAAGAACCAAAACCCTAATTTCAGCTGGCTTAGGAGGTGGTTTGACTGTGCAACCTCTTGAGCAATCTTGAACCAGTTGAAGATGATTCTTGACAAATCTTGAGGAATATGGGAGGGAAAATTTTGGGGTACAACACCCTTCATAATTGGTTTTGAATGATTGCAAATATATGTGAAATAATAAATACATGTGTGCATTACAAAAATATAATATAACATGTTTAAAATAAGTTAAAAATGTGTTTTACTCATAATGCATCATTATGAGTCGACACAACATGTTTTGCATCGATCCATAACATACTGAAGTCTCTGGAATACTATCTCAAACTATTATGCATCGATACAAAATCTTATGCATCGACACATAACACTTTGATGCCCCTGTAATGCAAACTTAAGCTTGTATGCATCGATAAAAAATCTTATGCATCAACACATAACACTTTGATGCCCCTGTAATGCAAACTTAAACTTGTATGCATCGACACAAAACCTCATGCATCAACACATGACATTCTGATGCTCCTGGAAAATATTTTTGAATTTATATGCATCGATACATAATATCATGCGTCGACTCATACCACGTTTTATGTTCAAAAATTAAAATTACAATCAGTATGCATAGACACATACGTGTTATGCATCAACGAATATAAAATTGTTGGTTCTGTAAAATGTTATGATACGATCTTGCATCGACTCAAAACAACATGTGTCTACCCATCCTGTAACTCATAACTAGCATGAGTCGACTCATGACCAACATGCATCGACTCATAATATTCTCTTTTGCCTAACCGTTTTCTGTTACATATATAAGCAAGTATTTTTCTCAGCAGCAAAGCATTGCAACATCATCATCTTTGCCTATTCTCTTCAAAACTCTGGGGGTATTGGACTTTGGGTATTGGATAGTTTCCCTTTTGAGTGTCTTTAACCTAATTTCCACTCTATAAATAGGTATCCTCAGTGTCCTAATTGATCATTCAGAAATATCCACAATTTTGCAATTGCGCACACACACACTTCATTCACAAACTCATTTTTTTTCTTTTCAAAATTTCTTTTCAAAACTACTGATTCTTTCTTTTCTTTGGCCAATGATTTTTGTATGAGGTCACCTTTTAGTCTCAATCTTATATTAATTTTTGTTTTAGTTTTTTTTATTATTAAACCACATGGTGATTTTATTCTGATTGTTGTTTTTAAAAAAAATGAATGATGTTATTTTTTACTAACAATTTTATCTAGAGGCTAAAATATTCACACTTTCATAAACCCTTTCATACGAACTTTGTGCATATTTCATCCAAATAATTTTTAAGTCAGTCGGCCTTGCATGCGCTGTCACATGTAGAAGCACTCACAAATCCTTGTTTTATCTCAAAAATATTCTCACAACCATTTTTGTTGACATATCAAGTTTGTTTTCAAAACTCTACATCAGCTTTCTATAACTCAGGCCATTCAATTTTTTCCGATCGGCGTAACCTGTATAAATCAAAACCATTTTCAACATCATCATGGTTTGTTTTGCATTAAAGTCTGTAACTTTCTATACACCAAAACAACACTCCGCTAAAACAACAACTCTTTAACACCATCATCCTTGCCAACACCATCCACACCCTGTCCACGCACGTTTTTCTCAAACAACCAACCCACTGCAATATGTCCTTCCATTCAACGCTCGCCATCAACTTCTCTCTAATACTCACTCTGTCGTTCTTAGTATCACGCCAATATCATCAACCGTCACGCTTACTTCCGCAAGCTGAGTCAGTGCCTCTGCCCGTTCATCAATTCTCACGCGCACAACAATATTGTATCTCCAGCCACCATCGAATTTCAGTCATCAGCATCATCAGCTCCGCTTCAAGCATCATCCGCCGACGAGTTCTTTCGGCCTCTGTTCGTTCCTCACAGCTTGACGTCATAAACTGTTCTGAAAAGAGGAGAAGAAAAACGTAGAACACGTTTCCGCTCGCGGCCACCGATACTTCTCTCCTCCAATCTCGCACGCACAGGTTTGATTTTTGGAATTTTGAATGGAGCAAATAGAGAAAAGATGAAGAGAGTATTCAAGGAAAAAGAATATGGGTTTGGTTGCTTCTACTGGAAAAACAATGTATGTATCTATGACTTTTTATATTTGATGTTATTTATTTTACTGCCATGTGTTCACTTATTAATGGACCACCGATTTTTTTGGGAGAAGTGAGTGAAGGCGTATGAATGGTAAATGGGGTGGCACCCCTGATAGTGTCACAAGGTTGTATATTTTTTTTTAATTAATTCTTATTATTTGGGTTAGTGAGAGTTTTAATAAAATACATGTTTTGGACTGGGCCCGACAGGCCCAAAAGCATTATTAAGGTCCAGTCCAAAGGGACTTACTAAGGACCACACTGGGCAAAGGGGGTCACATCCATGCCCGACACCCTGATGTCCACCTCGACATCTCGATGTCCAACCCCACGCGGTGAAGTCGTGCTCGACACCCTGCCGTCCAGCTCTATGTCCTGGCGTCCAGCTCGACACCCGCTGTCCAGCTCGAGGTCCTGGCGTCGAGCTCGGCACCGTGCTGCGCAGCTCGACATGGTCTCGAGCTACCCGGCTAGGGCAGACTCAGTCCACCGTTCCCCCAACGATACTCCGGAAAGACCGCGTCTCCGTCCGCCCGCACTTCACGCAGCACATCCAGGAAGGGGACCACGTGCAGGTCCCCACTACCCACGTAGAACCTGGCAGTTCCTCCATTGGGCCAAATCCGCCCGGCCCAATGAAGGAACCTTGGCCCAGCGCTGGGGGCTATAAATACCCTCTGTTTCCAGAGGGTCAGGTATTGATCATTCTAACCTCAACTCTATTATCTGCTCGTACTCCCACTGACTTTAGCATCGGAGTGCCTTGCAGGTACCCCCCCCCCCTCCTCGTTCAAAAAGCTTTCTGCTCGGAGCCAGCCGTGACGGTCCAAACCTTCTGATCAGGTCAGATCAGTGGCGCCGTCTGTGGGAAACAGCTTCCCCGTCTAACGAACAATTCCAAAGACCAAAGCTCAATTCAATTACCTATCATGGCTGATCCAGCTCGTGAAGAACAGCACGTCCGCGTCACCGACACCAACAACGGTCCCGCGGACAAGAATGGACACCTCGACAATCTCGGTGATCCCGGCCACAATGCCACCCCTGCGACAACCGCCCCTGGACCTTCCACCCGCAGGGACGGGAACACTGCGTCTTCCTCGACGACCCCTCCAGCACTCGAAGACGACCCGGAGGCTCTCGCCTATCGCCGAGCTGCTCGGTTCTATGAAGTCCAAGTCCCTGCCGGGGCAGATGCCACGACTCAGGCACTGTTCGCGGCCATCAACCAGACAAATTATCTCCTATTCGCCCAAGGAGAAAGACTAAGGGCACTTGAAAATGATCGACGACCCCCGAGGAGGCATCAAAGGCCACCATCTCCACCTCCTCGGGTCGAAGAAGTTCGACACCCTACTCCCCCGCGGAGACACTACAGGGAGAACTCTAGGAGCCCCTCTCCCCGACCAAAGCAGAGGCGGCCCCAATATGAGAGACAGCCCGTCATCCCTACCGAAGAACCCAGTCGCGACCCATCAAGGCACGACAGGAGGCACAACAGAGACGGGCGTGTGACCTTCAACCATCGAGCATCACGCTCGAGGGAATCTCAGCACGACCAGCGTGCCAGACATAACTACAGGACCCCTTCTCTTTCTCCGGAGAGGAGCGACGAGGACGACCCCCGCGGTCCCCTGTCGCAGGCCATCATGGACGCACCTATTCCCCCGGGCATGGAGAAGCCCCCACACCTGAAGGAGTATGATGGAGTGGCGGACCCAGTCGACCACATTGACGGGTTCGAAGCCATGCTCCACTATCATAATGTCGGGGGGCCCATCAAGTGCCGTCTCTTCCCCACAACTCTCAGGAAGGCGACCATGGACTGGTACAAAGGACTCGCCCCGGGCTCCATCACCTCGTGGCGGAACCTGAAGAACCAGTCGGCGCCACCCGAAGACCGAGGCGGCCCTCGAGGCCATCATCCAAAGACAGGATGAGACCTTGAGGGAATTCATCAACCGCTTCAACCGGGAAGCAATACAGGTCCCCTGCGCGGACCATATGAAAAGGTACTTGCTGGAGAGGGGCCTCCTCCCCGGCACAGAATTCAGAAAAGCTGTGGGCATTGAGCCACCTGCAACTTTTGATGCTCTCCTCGACAAAGCCCGGGCATACATGGACTACGAGGAGAGAGAAGCTGCCAACAGGGCACGAGACTCCAGGGCTCGCAATCATGGCAGCAGCTCGAGACAAGACCCTCCTCCCCGACGGACCGGAGAGAAAAGGAAGGAAGATCGACCCCGGGAGGTCCGAGAACAAAGGGGCCCCTCGGGCCGTTTCACCGAGTACACTCCGCTCACGGCTTCCCGCGAGCGTATTTTGGCGGAGTGTGCTAGCACAGATTTTAAAGACGGTGGCGTCAAGCGTCCCCGACCAGCTCCTGCCAAGTCAGGAGTAGACAAAAATAAATACTGTCGGTACCATAGGAGTCATGGTCACTTGACAGAGGACTGCGTCCACCTGAAGGACGCCATTGAAACCCTCATCAAAGGAGGGAGGCTTGCACAGTACAGGCGAAACGATGCTCCCCGTCGTGACGCCCACGAAGCAAAGGAGCCCGAAGAAGATGCCCGACCATCTGACGAATCGGTGCCAATCCAGACCGCCTTCTCGGTAACCAGGCTCGAGGATTTCGAACTTCCCGAGCTCCTGCAGGAGCCCCTGACGACACACAGCAGGTGGGAATACTTCCCCTCCGCCATGGTCATCAACGGGGGTGGGTTCAACGACCTCACCATCAACTCAGCCAAGAGGAAGTTGGACGAACTGGTCGACGCAGCTCCTCCACAAACTGTGACTTTCGAAATAGTGAAGGGCAGATCAGAGCCCATCACCTTCTACTTAGAAGAGCTCCCCGGCGGAGCCCCGAACGCAGTCATCCCCTTGCTGATAAGGGCAAAGGTGGCCAATTTTGACGTGCATCGCATCCTGGTCGACGAAGGGAGTTCCGTCGACGTGATGTACACCCAGCTGTTCCGGACCTTGCAACTGGATGACTCACATCTGTCTCCGTATATAGGTTCGGACCTTCAAGGCTTCAACGGCTCGACTTCCAAACCTTGGGGATATGTCGAGCTCCTCGTGACGTTCGGGGAAGGAACTGCTACAAGACAGGTGAAGGTCCGCTTCCTCGTCATTGACTGCCCGTCCCTATACAATTGCATCTTGGGGAGGCCGACATTGGCGGAGCTGACAGCGGTCCCCTCAACTGTCCATCTAAAAATGAAGTTCTATACCAAAAGGGCGAGGGTAGCCACCATCCAGGGCGACCTCGCCGCTGCCCGCAGGTGCTTCAACGCCGCTTCAAGAGGACGGGATACCGTCGACGTGGGTACTAGCACCAGACCCATCAAGAAGACAAAGCAAGAGCCCGACAGAGCATCTCCCGAGGTAGAAGTTCAGAAGGCTCCACCAAAGGTCGACTCCATAGCCCTCGACGCCCGCTTCGACCAAGACGAGCCATCCAGCGGCGAGCAAATCCCCCTCCGACCTATTCCGGACGGTGATTTCAAACTCGTTCCCCTCGGAGCAGACCCGACCAAGGGAGTGAAGATTGGCAAGGACCTCCCCGACTTGGCCAGGAAGCAAATCAAGGCCTGTCTGCGCGAGAATGCTGATCTCTTCGCCTGGAGCGCTGCAGAGATGCCCGGACTCGACCCTGAGGTCGCCTGTCATCACCTCGCCATTGATCCAGCCGCCAAGGCCGTAGTACAACGTAGGCGTAGGCAGTCTCCAGAAAAAACAGAGGCTGCTGAAAAAGCTGTAAAAGACCTCTTAGAGGCAAATTTTATTTCTGAAGCCCGGTACTCCACCTGGCTGTCAAATGTTGTACTTGTTAAAAAGAATAATGGAAAATGGAGAATGTGTGTTGACTATACCGACCTCAACCGGGCTTGCCCGAAGGATGCTTTTCCTCTACCTAACATTGACATGCTGGTCGACAATTCGGCCGGCTACAAGACTTTGTCGTTCATGGACGCCTACTCGGGATACAATCAAATCCCAATGGCCCTGGGCGACAAACGCTGCACGGCGTTCATGACCAGCTCGGGCAACTATTACTACAATGTAATGCCCTTCGGACTGAAGAACGCCGGCGCGACTTACCAACGCATGATGAACAAAGTATTCAACAAACAGATCGGCGACATGCTCGAGGTATATATGGACGACATGATCGTCAAATCTCGAGCAGACACCGATCACGCAGCTCATCTCAAGACAGTTTTCGCCCAAGCAAGACAGTGCAAAATGAGGTTCAACCCCGAGAAGTGCACGTTTGGGGTTAAGGCAGGAAAATTCCTCGGATTCTATCTAACAGAGCGAGGGATTGAAGCCAACCCCGACAAGTGTCGAGCATTCGCCGACCTCCCGACTCCAACGTCGAAGAAGTCGATACAGATCATGAACGGCATGTTGACGTCACTATCACGCTTCGTCGCGAAGTCCGCTCAACACGCCCTTCCCTTTTTCAAACTCCTTCAAAAGGAAGCAGCCTTCGAATGGACCGAGGAATGCGAACACGCACTTCGCCATCTGAAGCAGAGCCTGTCTCAACCGCCCGTGTTGTCTCGACCAGATGACGACGAGCCACTTTACCTATACTTGGCAGTTTCAAACGAAGCCATCAGTGCAGCTCTTGTCCGCGAGACTCCCGACGGGCAGAAACCTGTCTACTTCACGAGCAAAGCCTTACAAGGCCCCGAGAGCAGGTATCAACAGATAGAAAAGGTTGCTCTGGCCCTCGTCAACGCTGCGAGGAGGCTCAGACACTACTTTCTAGCGCACACCATCATCGTGCGAACCGATCAACCGGTGAGG